TAGCAGTGTTGAACCAAAACACTTGGAGAGTTGCGTTAAAAGGAAATAACTGTGACATCCAGAAGAGACATGACACGTGGAACTAGAACAATCTACCCCGTTAGACGAAATAAAGGGTTGGAAATTCCAATCACCTAAAGAAGGCTGAAGCGTACAACGGCCGAAACGTTGTGAATATGGCAATGAAGATGAGGATAACAGTCCGAATAATATACATAATCATAATACTTCATCTCAGAGATATAAACAGATTTTCACTTGTTTTGTTAATGCTTTTTTGCTTATAATTCGTGCTTGTCAGATAAAACTTTTTCACTGGATATGTTAATAATTCCCCCCCCCCATCATATTATTTTTACTTTTTAGAGTCCTTATATTTATTTTTATGGCCAGTTTTGACACAAAAAATAAGTGGGGGCGCACTATACAAAGGTAATTATTTTGAGTATGTTAATTCCAATCACCTGAAGAAGGCCGGAGCGTACAACGACCAGAACGTTGTGAATATGGCAATGAAGATAACAGTCCGAATAATGTAAATAATGCAAATCATCATAATACCTCATCTCAGAGATATAGTGGCCGAAACGTTGTGAATATGGCAATGAAGATGAGGATAAAAGTCCGAATAATGTAAATAATGCAAATAATCATAATACCTCATCTCAGAGATATAGAGGCCGAAACGTTGTGAATATGGCAATGAAGATGAGGATAAAAGTCCGAATAATGCTATCAGCACGGGTGATGCTAACCCGCAAGAGATTAATACACTACAGCTTCTTTGGTTGACGTTTTCCATTTGGATGGATATATTGAATTGATTGCTATGTATATTGCTATAAAGTTTTCTTTCACTGTGTCGAGCCAGAAAGCTTTTACTCGTTAGGGTCCATCTTTCACATTCTTGTTCTTGTTCTGCCTTTCATGACGAGGGATGAGTGAGGGTCGATATGTAGGAAAGAGGGAGGAGAAGAAAGAGGGAGGAGAAGAAAGAGGGAAGGAGAGAGTGGGAAAGAGAGGAAGATAGTGGGAGACAGAGGGAGAAAGTGAGAGGAAAAGATAGAGAGAAAGAGAAAGGGAAAAAGAGAGAGAGGGGAGTAAGTGTGAGCGAAGAAAAGAGAGGGGATAAAGAGAAACGGGGGATAAAGTGATAGGGAATAAAGAAAGAGGGAGTGAGGGGAAAAACAGATGGGGTAAGAAAGATAGGGAGAGGGAGAAAGAGAGCAAGAGGGAAGATTGAGAGAGAGGGGAAGATAGAGAGAATGTGAGTGTGAGGAAGGGAAATAGAGAGAGGGTAGAAAGAGAGAGGAGAGAGAGAAGAAAGAGAGAAGGAAAGAGACATGGAAAGGGAGAGAAAATGGAGAGAGCGGGAGAAACAGAGAAAGAGATAACAGTCCTGTTAAATTGATTGATTAATTTATTTTTTACGGTTTATTAACCCTTTGCGGTTATTTAAAGCCAGAAAATATTTTTAGATTCTAAGGGTTTTTTTTTTTTTAGATAAAAACGATTTCGTGATACAAGTCTTACTAATTAATCCATAGCTGGAGGAGAAGAAGAGGTAAATTCATATCTTTCCCAAGAGCGTTCAGGCGATGTATCACAAGGTCGAATTCTGCTCATTCTTTTCGTATTGGTAAGAAAGAATTTCCATTCAGACAGCTTCTTTCAGAGATCTGATGCTCTGTAAAACTGTTCCCAAGAGGACGCTTTACCCATCGCTATGATCTTAATCTCTGCGAGTTTAGAGTCAACCCTTGTCTATCCTATATATCCTCATAATATGAATTTCTTACATTAGAGCCTTACAGCTGATTTTCAGCTGTAAGGCTGTAAACTAAGAAAATCATATTATGAAGTTATGATCGCCAGCAAGAGACCAGAAAAACTGAACATTAACATCAATGGGACCCAACTAAAGCAAACCAGTGAATTCAAATATCTGGGCAGCATATGTACTGAAAACGGCAAACTAGCCAGTGAAATCGAGACTAGATGTCAGAAAGCCAACGCAGTCAGTTACCAACTTGCTCGTCTTCTAATACATCCTAGCATCTCCATGAGCCCCAAGGCAAATCTAATCAACACCATTTTCCTACCAACGCTGACATACCAGTGCCAGACATTGCCCCTAACAAAAACCCTTGAGAGGAAACTGATCACTTGTGAGATGAGATGCCTGCGGAAAGCAGTAAACAAGACCCGGCGAGACAAGATCAGGAATGAGTCAATAAGAGATATGGTAGGAGCGATACCAATCATACAACACATCGAACGACAGAGGATCAAGTGGTTTCGACACCTGATTCGGACGCCTATCAACCAACCAACCCTACGAGCATACACCCTCAGGTACTCTGGCTGAAGATCAAGAGGCAGACCAAGAAGACGCCGGAGTGACTCAGTGGCACACACACACACACACACACACACACACACACACACACACACACACACATATATATATATATATATATATATATATATACATTTATACATATATATAAAGACGAGAGGCAAGCCAAGAAGACGCTGGAGGACTCTGTGGCACACACACACACACACACACACACACACACACACACACATATATATATATATATATATATATATATATACATTTATACATATATATAAAGACGAGAGGCAAGCCAAGAAGACGCCGGAGTGACTCTGTGGCAGACACTCTCAGAGCCCACAAGATACCTCTCTTCTAGGCCACTCGCCTTGCCGTTGGCGACTGTGTCTCCCCGCGACGCATAACAACACAAGCGTAAGGAAAAACTAAACTAAACTAAGTCTTACAGCGACCTTGTCCAGTCACTTTCATTTGAAGGAACGGCTCTCGTGCCTTGTACTGGGTAAGCAATAATGCTCACGCCTTCCTCTTCTATATGGTTGTCCCATTTATAGTGTCACAATTTAATGATGATATTTGCCAATATTTGCACCAATTAATCACTGCTTTGATTAATTGATTCATTTTTTTTTTTATCAGCCCTTTGTATGGTAAACAAGGATTTATATAAAGTAGTAATGATAGCCTCTACACACGTGTATATAGCTGGAGTTATACAAGAAGTGTTAAATCAGGTGTTCGTGAAATTTAAAAAGATTGATAAGCCTACTGAGTTGTCCGGAGGTTCAAAGTTTCTTGTCTCTTTCAAGACTTCATGACGCGGAAATAAAAAAAAAATGGTTCATTGCTTCAGAAAATGTGTGCCTTGCGTTAATATACTTTTTTCTTTATGAAACACACACACACACACACACATATATGTATACATATATATATGTATATATATATATTGTGTAATTAGGGAACAATCCTTCATTTATGCATGTTTCATTAAAAACGACAGACAAGGGAATATGATTAAGCTTTTTATTTAATTTTCTCGTGTTCGAACAAGTGCTTTCTTTTTGGGGACACATAGTGTGTAGAAACTGTCTAAAGTTTCTATAATTCCGTGCGCTTTCGGCTATACTTTTAACCATTATCAAGGATGATTTTATTTTTCAGTTTAATTGAGTGTGTGCGTTATGTGTATGTTTTTAGTTGTATAGAGAGGTTTTATTTTCCGAACATGGTCAGCACATTGTGGCCTTGTTCGGAGTTAATATTGTTAAATGTTAGTTGGCTTTTTTTTTTTAATGAAACATGCATATATATATATATATATATATATATATATATATATATATATATATATATAGTTGGATTGATGTGAGTTTGTGGTCCTGGGTTTCACTGTTTGCGATTAGACAAACTGATTAATTTTTAAATTTTGGATTTATATATGGTTGCGTATATCGGAAAAGTGAGAGGAAAATTTGTCGTCGGGACGCCACTCATATTTACGCAAACATACATACACGCACGTACTTACTGGAGCTCACACAAACATAAAGATATGTGAACAGTGTGGGAGTGGGCATATATGCGCATATATGTGTTGTGCACAGACGTACGCATTTGGTCCCTGTATTAAATGTTGGATTGTGTAGCGAATATTTTTTGTTTGCTGCGCTGTCAACGCGCGGGCCGTTTTCTATTTTTGTTCGCTGAATAATGTTTTCTCGCATGCACATATATACGTATGATGGGGTCTGTGTAAGAATATTATAGGTAAAAATTGATATTACTTTTAATATTTTAAGGCTGTTTTGTTATTATCATAAAGCTGGTTATTTGCTTGTTTTTGGCGATTGCGCATATGGAAATCCAATTAAATATGCCTTGTCACTGATATTGAGCGCCTTCCAATAAGTACCGTGCATATATAAAATATAAATAATATATATAGAAAAATTGCATATATATATATATATATATATATATATATAAAGAAGAAAGAAACCGCAAACGTTTTTGGTTGTAATGTGGATTTTTAGAAAAATTATGCTTTATTTTCCATAATTTTGCAACGTTTCCGGTCTCGTGACTGTCATCAGGCAAAGGGTAGAGATTTCCACATATTATTAAAAATTATTAATTTTTTCCTTATGTTTTTCGATGTTAAATATTCTCGATATGAGACATTCTCCTTTTTTGTGTTAGTGATACAAACGTCTTTCTTGAACTTCCAGTGAAAAGTTCTGCGTGAAGGGTTATAAAACAATTAAGATTTGTTCGAGAAATTATGGAGTAGTTATCGACATTCTTATCTTTTACTTACCCCTGTGTGTTCTTAGATCTATTTCCATTTTCGTGTGCTTTTGTCAGTATGCGTGTATATATGTATATATCGTCTTTCCATACATATGCATTGTCTGTGTTTGTGTATGTGTGTGTGTGTGGGTGTACAGATGTATTCACTGATTCTTCGTAGTGAGGCAAGTCTTACTAATTAATCCATAGCTCGCGGAGAAGAGGTGAATTCATACCTTTCACAACGGCTTGAATATAACGAACCCAACTGGAATTGGAACTCTGCTCTCCGATTAACAATTCCGAGCCATTATCCATTACACCACACGCAAATACGAGCTTATACCAACTCGTATTTCCAAGTGGTTACGCATCTAGGTACTGACCAGGATCGACGTTGCTTAACTCCGTTGAACGCATGAGAACCGGTGTTTCAACGTGCTATGGCCGTAACCCAGGAAATCTTAAACCAATTATAATAATTATCGTTTTTCATCAAAGTCTGGCGAAGAAAATGAGAAAAATTGGTGATCTAAAAAAATTCGGAATTGAAGAGGTTTGGAAAATTTCCCCCCAATTTTCCCAAAAATATAAACGTCCCCACCCTCAGTGTACTTCTATATGTGCGTCATTTATCTATCGAGTACGAGTCATTGCAATAAATTATAAGCCGTGATTTTTTTGGTGATCCTACGGGAAGTGGTGTTTCGACGAGATGTGGCCGTAAGCTCACTGCTTTGAGAATTACCGTTCAAAGTCTTGACTTTAACCAAGTACCGGGGAACGATCATTGGCACCGAGGTTAGGAAACTTGTTTTGCTGAAGCCGATAATGGAATTTCTGATGAATCTTCTCATCTGTCGCAAACAACTTGTCATTCCTAATAAAATCAGTGTCCAACAGAACCGTCCATCATCTTGGAAAATAATTTGTCGTCGAATCCAATTAAGTATCTGGACAAAATTTCTGCGTTAAACGAAAAATTGTTTTTCAACAAAACATCGCAAAACGAAATAACACATCGAAAATAAGTTTTGCAGTTGATTTTTCGTTTCTCGAATTATCCATACGTTCCTGAGTGATTTTACTTTACGTTTTATTTTATCAATTGCCACCCGCTGCTACTGATTTTGTTTAGCGGCATATCAACCTCTATGGGTTATTTAATGCCGAAATCTAAATATTTTGATTGGTTTGGTTGGTTGATTTTGTTTAGCGGCATATCAACCTCTATGGGTTATTTAATGCCGAAATCTAAATATTTTGATTGGTTTGGTTGGTTGATTTTGTTTAGCGGCATATCAACCTCTATGGGTTATTTAATGCCGAAATCTAAATATTTTAATTAATTTGGTTGGTTGATTTTTTTAGAGGCATATCAACCTCCTTGGGTTATTTAATGCTGAAATCCAAATATTGGTTTGGTTTGGTTGATTTTGTTTAGCAGCATATCAATCTCTATGGGTTATTTAATGCCGAAATCTAAATATTTTGATTGGTTTGGTTGGTTGATTTTGTTTAGCGGCATATCAACCTCTATGGGTTATTTAATGCCAAAATCTAAATATTTTGATTGGTTTGGTTGGTTGATTTTGTTTAGCGGCATATCAACCTCTATGGGTTATTTAATGCCAAAATCTAAATATTTTGATTGGTTTGGTTGGTTGATTTTGTTTAGCGGCATATCAATCTCTATGGGTTATTTAATGCCGAAATCTAAATATTTTGATTGGTTTGGTTGGTTGATTTTGTTTAGCGGCATATCAATCTCTATGGGTTATTTAATGCCGAAATCTAAATATTTTGATTGGTTTGGTTGGTTGATTTTGTTTAGCGGCATATCAACCTCTATGGGTTATTTAATGCCGAAATCTAAATATTTTGATTGGTTTGGTTGGTTGATTTTGTTTAGCGGCATATCAATAATGCTCTGTAAATTTACATTGAGCACTATTTTGTAAAAATAAAAATATCTATAAGAACACCGGATTTTATATCTTACTGTTCTTTCTTTTTATTTATATATATATTTTACTTATGATTTTATGCTTTCAACTACAGATATCTATTTTATAATTTTATAATTTTACTTTTCTTTTGTCATGTCAGCATTCGCTTTCATCCGAACATTGAGATCGTCACCCTCTCTTCTTATTCCATTTCTCTCGCCTGGTACAAGCTTTGGGGGAGTTGGCTGTGACTCAAAGAGAGTTTGACAAGGCCATTCGCGTGAATTTGATTTTGGTTGATAAATCTGCGTGATGGTTGTTTCTTAGACATATAAGTGGGGATTATAAAACATGCAATGATAACAACAAAAATTGCAATATGAGCACTTAAAAAATGGTTACTGAAGACATTAACTTTATAATACCCAGAAATGCATACACAGATGTCCTCAAGGACACATGGCACAGTAGATAAAGGCGTTAGTTAGATCCAGTGACAGGATCCAAAGAGTGTGAGTTCAATACCTTGTTATGGAAGTGGAGAACTTTCAGAGGGGAATCAGAACAGTCTAATCCAGTGAGCAAAATAAAGGGTTCAGTTTGGTATTTTAACCACCTGAAGAAAGTCGGAGCGTACAACGGCCGAAACGTTGTGATAAACATAGTGATGAGAACCATAGTCCGGATAATGTAAATATTTTTTGTTGTTGTATGGAAGTAATTCTTTTATTCGTCATGAAAAGCCTTCCAAAATCTTGGTTTGGTATAGCAGACTTGTTCTTTTAACGAACCTCAAAGAAATAAATCACATGGTTTTAAGTCAGGACTCCTAGCTGGCCTCTCATACATAAAATAGGGAGTTACTTTTCAATCACCATGTATATTAATCATCCCCACAAGCAAGGCGGCAATTGCTCTAGTACACATTGGGAGTTACAGGGAGTAAAAGTAAAAGAGAAAACTAAGAATAGGGAGGATTGAAAGAAGGACAAACATGAACGCGGTTCAAGAATAAAGAAGATGGCGATTAATGTTGCATTTCAATTTCTGAAGATTGTAGTTATCAAGGAATCAAGAGAGTTCCAGAGGGGGAAAGTGGGAGAAAAGAAACTGTTGGAGTAGAAGTGGCGGGTTTCCCTATTTCAACACTAAAGGGGTGAGACATAAGTTCCAATCTAGTAGAACACTTAAATTCGTGTACTGGGGCCACCAGATAAAAAAGATGGTCAGAGTAGTAGCCATGAAAATATTTGTAGAAAAGACAGAAGTTAAACTATGTCACATCGGTGTGAAACTGACTGAAGTCGATAAGCCTAGTCAGGATCGATTAAATTACAAACCCTTCTTTGGATTTTGTCAAGAATCTAGAGATGCACAGCAGGAGCACCAATCCAGATATTGCAACAGTATTCAATACATGGACAAATGGTAGAGATCGTCGCTGAGCAAACACAGGCGATCCCATTATTGAATTAAATAGATCACGTGATAGTATACGGACCGCTATTCTCTACTCTATTCACTATATTATTCCTTTATTCGGATCACTACACGGGTTACATCTCGAGCGAGTATTATCGAGAGAGTACTATCAGCGTGAGTGATATTCGAGGGCGTCTAACACCAGTATTGTTCAAAGGTGTTACTATAGTTGTATCTTCGATTACAAAGTCTCTACTACAACGAGCATTACGAAAGTGACAACGAGTATTCTTTGGTATCACAAAAGTGGCAACGAGTCTTCGTTGACATCACAAAAATTTATAAATGTGAAAGATAGTCAGAGTAGTAGCCATGAAAATATTTGTAGAAAAGACAGAAGGAAGTCATGTCACATAGGTGTGAAACTGACTGGAGTCGATAAGTCAAGATCAATTACATTACAGATCCTTCTTTGTATTTTGTCAAGAATCTTTGAGATGTACAGCAGGAACACTAGACCAAATACAGCAACAGTATTCAATGTACAGACGAGTGGTAGATTTGTAAATGTGCAAGATGGGATCTGACGAGAAAAAAATCCTGGCACGATATAGTGACCCAGTATTCCTTGCGACAGATGCAGCTATTGGTTTGATGTAGTCTCTCCGCTTCAAGTCAATTGGAAACTTGAGGCCAAAATGAAAATAAGGAGGATTGAGGGAAGGACAAACATGAACAGGGTTCAAGAATAGAAAAGATGACGATTGATCTTGCATTTCAATTTTTGTAGTTATCAAGGAATCAAGAGTGTTCCAGAAAGGGGAACTGGGCTAAAAGAAACAGTTGGGGTAGATTAGTGGTGGTTGAATTTCACTATTTCATCAGTAAAGGGGTGGGACTTAAATTCCAATCTAGTAGAATACTTAAATTCGTTTATTCGGAGCACCATGTAAACAAGATGGTAAGAGCCGATGCTATGGAAATATTTGTAGAAAAGACAGAAGGAAGCCATATCACATCGGTGTGAAACTGACTGGAATCGATAAGCCTTGTCAGGATCGATTACATTACAGATCCTTCTTTGGATTTTGTCAAGAATCTTTGAGATATACAGCAGGAACACTTGACCAGATACAGCAACAGTATCCAATGTACAGACGAGTGGTAGATTTGTAAATGTGCAAGATGGATTCTGATGAGAAAAGATTTCTGGCATGACACAGTGACCCACATTTCTTTGAGCGTGGATGGATGCAACTATTGATTCGATGTAGTCCCCCCACTTCATATCAGTGGAAAACGTAAAGCCATAAAGCGTAGTGTGTTGCTCTCCTGGAGTCTAGCGTCAGCAATGCTAGTGGCAGGCAGAAAAAGGTTATCAGTGGTGGTTGCTAATGTTTTCAGCATTGATTTCATTATTGTACAGACTTATCTGCTATTGGCTATAAACAAACAAAAAAGAAACAAGCGAAACAACGTTATCTTAGATACAATGAGATTGTAACTGTTATGTAAATACATACCAATACAACTCAAAACTTAGTGGCTAAGAACTGTCAAAATATTGAAGATCTCCGTTCGGTGAACTACGAGTTTTATGACAGTTATAAGTATTTATCTCAATTCCCTTCGCACGTTCTTCTTTCAAGTAAACAATATGGCTTTTATTTCTCTACGTAAGGTAAACAATATGGCTTTTACTTCTCTAACTATTAACTACTAGCAGTAGAGCCCGGCGTTGCCCGGGGATGTAACAGTAAGAGATAGATCAAATATCGACCACCATAAAGACTGAAAAATAAAATTGACAAAGATTATTGTTTAAGGTTGACGGACACGCATGTCTTAATTAGTTTTTTTTTATTTTTTATTTTTTTTACGAATTGGTCAAACTCAAACAAAAACATTGTTTTCAATCGTTATGAGTCTATCGATTGAATAGAATTTTATTATAAACAATTGTCTTGTAAATGGGATTTTTAAAGCATTCTGAATGTAAAAATAAAGAAAAAAATGTGCAAGACAATAAGAAACACTACCTGCCAAAAAAAGTTAAGTTTTGTTGAAATCGGTTGAAAAATG